CCTGGAGACCCAGCCCTGTCCTCTGCTCACTGGCTTCCCGCCTGGCCCTCAGGAGTAAAGTGGGCCACTAATACGGGACCTATATCTTGTGCCTGAAATGCAGAGGTGCTAGTGAGTGGGGGCTAGTTGTTTTCTTTATTCATGGTGTAGGGGTGAGAGCTTCTCCCTCTTCCCTTCTGGGTTCTACAGCTGGTCCGAGACTTAAGACAGATGAACAGGAGAAAAACAAATTTAATTTTGTATGTACAGGAGCCGGAAAGATAAGAAGCTTGAAAGTGACCAAAACAGGCTGTTTTTAATGCCTCTGAGTCAAAGAAACAGTAAATTTGAGAAGAATTGATAAGACAAGGGGTTTGGGCTCAGGGTGGTAAATAGGGAGCTACCAAGGTTTATGGAGCCACCCAGCCCTAAACTGCCCGTGGCTGCTGGTGACGCTGCCTCTCTTCCTCCCAAAGCAGCGAAGGCACCTTTTCCCCGGGGTGGGGGTGGAGGCAGAGGAGGCTCTGAGTGTCCTTCTGGCACTGGCCATTTCTTAAGTAAGTTTAATCCAAAATAATCAATATGTAAAAATGGCATATCTGGGGGCAGCCTAAGCTACTCTACTTTGGTGGCTAGAAATGAGAAGCTGAGATCACATTGGGGTTGGAAGTGAAGCCTGGCTTAGGACCTCCCAGTACCCTAGGTGTTGAGTGCGGAGTCAGGGCCTGCCGGCTACAGGTGCAAGCAGTCTTGGGCTCCAAGAGACCTGGGAAGTCTCCCCAAGACGAGCACATGCATGGCCAGGTTCCTGCCTGCTACAGATGCTGATAAAGTGTGTGTGAGCAGGTGGTTTCTGCTTCTCCTTGTTGTCTTAGATGTATAGGCACATGTTCCTAGCCCATGAAGACAAAACCTGTTCAGCTCTCCCAACCCAGAAATCCAGCATGTACACAGACAAAGCCCAAGCCCCTGAGGTCAGGTGTATGAACATTAGCCTGCTTGTAGTACAAAGTTGATTTCTGTTTCTTTGAGGGGGGTTGGTATCTCTTCATCATCAGGAACGATACTCAGGTGGCTGAACTCACTGGCACCAGGTCATACCTCATTCTTGAGGTTTTAAAAATAGTATGTTTGCTCGTGTTCTTATATGTGATATCTGTGTCTGCCAGTGTGGCCTCTGCCCTTGATTGCAAAGTTCAGTTTGTCTTTGCAAAGTAGCTCCTTATTTCCTTTCTCTAGTGTAGGAATGCATGTGTTAATGACATTGGTTAGTTGCTCTTTGTTCTGGGCACAGACTGACTCTCCTCCAAGCACTCAGCTGGAAGAAGGGGTCGCCACCAAGAGCCCTGGCAGACCACAGTCCTATATGAGTGAGGCTTGCTTCAGCCTCTGTGTATGAAGGGCAACCCCGCCGGGGCAGCACTGCCTTGGGACAGCGGCTGGCTTCCACCCAAGCTCTGATCCATCCTGTGCACCGCTTTAAACTTGCTGAAGGGGCATCGCTATTCATCCATGGTCCCACTGCAAATCCTGATAACATAAAAATAATAACACAACTCATAACAGCCTGAGGGGGACATACTGAGGTCAGAGATGCTTTAAGAAGATTGATTTACATAACTTTCATAGCAGCAGGTGAGTGTCAGAGATGAAGTTCAGAGTTAATAGCTCAGATAACAGAGTTAGGAATGTATTCAAGAGTTAAAAGTACAGACCAGAAGAGAAATAAAAGCAACACTATAAACAATCAACAGTGTGTGACTGACGAGCCAGAGGAGAAAACACACTGACCTCACCTCCATGCCCAGGGAGGAGTCCATGGGGCTGTAGGAAGAATGAGGGATTGAGTACCTTGCCAACATCATGACCATCAGAGACCAGTATGTCATGATGCTCAAGCATGAATATTAGAAGAACCACAAGCAGATGATAAGACTTGAGAAGGACCAAACATCTGACAGAGCAAACGCTGACCCAGAGACACTGCTGGAGAGCCCAGCTCAGGGCAGAATGCACGCTATGCCACCATGTGCTCAGACAAGGATGGAGCCTCTTCACGGATGCCTTAGCACCTCTGCACGGTCTGATTCTCACCAGAAAGATGCACATTAAGCCAGCAGAAGGGATCTGGCAATCTGGGGCCTGGGAGGGAAGAGATCTCTTTAAACTACTTCCTTACACTCCTGTGTTATTTGTGAGCCATGCGAGTATAATACAATTCAAAGAGTAATGACAAAACATTGCAATATAACATTTTAATGCCTTCATTAAAAAAAAAGGCAGCTTAAAGCTAGGAGTTCTCCAAGATGAATGTTAATTCCAGGACAAGAGACCCCGTTCCAGCCAGAAGGCAGCCGGCCAGAGACAGGGCCCTAGAAGCACGGTCCCAGCCTCAGGACACTGCAGAGTGCGCAGCACACAGCAAACGAGACAGGCTTGATGGGGCTGGGGTGTCCCTCCCACATCTAGATACCTGTCCCCAGCTCCTAAGGGGCTGTCTGGGTCAAGCTCCATGTCTGTCTGGGTCTTGTCCCTGGGCTGCTGCTGCCTGGTGTTCATTCACCCCTCTGTCCCAGAGCTGTCAGACAGGCTGGGTGAGGATCAGAGGCCCTAAGGATGAAATTCCCTGGAGGCTGCATCACAGAGGACATCCAGAACAGCAGGCAGAGGGACCTGAGGGGAACCCTGAGTCGTGCAGCCGCAGAGACTGGTGGAGAACTACCTCTGGTCCTTTTTGTAGTCACGTTACAGAGTGAGTGTGTGTGAGTGTGCATGAGTGTGCATTAGCACTCAGCCTGCGCCGGGGCCCTGTGAACATCCCCTCCCGTGGCGGGCCGGCGGCACCCCAATCCGCACGAAGCCCCTCCTGCTGCCCCCTCACACAGCCTCATACAGCCTCATGTCCAGTCACACAGCAGAGACTTCCTGGAGCCTGGATCGCAGCCCAGGCAGGTGCGCTTCCAAAGCATGTGCTCATCACATCACAGAATGCTGTTCTCCCTCGGAAATACGCTCGTGTGGTACAGGCACTTGAGATGTGTGGTCTCGAGTATCCAGCATCTGGCAAAGGGACTCTCCCTTTGTTGGAAGATTGGGGTGGATGTTTTCTCCTTGTGGGAAGAGGATGACTCAGTAGAAAGTGAGACAGACATGGGGCTCCTGTCCCGGCTCTGCTGTTTACTTGCCTTGTGACCTCAGGCAGACCACTTACCCTCTCTGAGCTGTAGAGCTTCATGGCCAAGGAAGGATGTATAGGCTACCTGTCCCAGCCATGGTGAGGGCTTAGAGGGGTAAGAACTGCCAGGAGGTCAGCAGGAGAGCCCCATGTGGTGGCTGCAGTGACCATGGTGCCCTCACCCTCAGGAGGCCAGGTGCCCTAGAGTCTCAGAAGATTCGGGACAAGGTTCCTGTAGCACCCAAACCCCAGGCATCCCACCTACAACTGGGTAAGGGAAAGAAAGGTGGGAGGAGAGTACAGAGAAGGATGGCCTGGCTTCTCTATGCTGCTGGTCATCAGTCACTGAATGGAAAAGGACAGGCGTCTAGCAGGACACCCTGGTCAGAGGCTGGAGGCCAGCTGGACCACCCCTGGTAGCCTGGAGACAGCTGGTTGTCACGGCGAGAAGAGGCCATGAGAGGCAGAGTAGCATCTGTAACAGCCACTCAGGGGCCCAAGCTCAGAGTCCTGCAAACACCAGGCCTGTGAATGGCCATCACCGTGGACAGGGCAGGGTGTGTTGTACCCCCAGTCTGTGTACTGATGATGGGGACCAGCAGTGGTCAGGGGTTTAATGCTGGGCGCACTCCACACCTGATCGCATGGCCTCACATATGGCTGGCCAGGCTCCCTATGTGGCTGGACACATGATGAAGTGCAGCAGCTGGGAAGATGCCAGTAGCTCGGCACAACGGGGCCGAAGACGGTTCAAGAAGGAAGACAAAGGAGCAGGACTGTCTCACCCGGAGAAGCAGGCAGGCAGTGTGGAATTACTGAGGCCTTGTCGCTGGGCGGCCGTCCACCCCCAGGAGGCCAGCGAAGGCAGAGCCGGTGGACAGAGTTCCGCTCTGCTGGCCTGCCCCTCCCGCCCCCTGCCCCGGGAGGTCTTTGTTTAACTTGAGCATGGTGGCTGTCATCGATGTTTGTGGATGCCACCACGCCCCGCCAGTTCTGGTTTTAATCAGCGCAGGAGCACAGCTGTCTGCGCCCACGAGGAGGCCGCGCGTGCTGGGTCCCGGGCTGGGGCTGACAGTTGGCACTGCCTCTTCAGATGCGGGCACAGCCTGGTTGGGAGGCTCGGTCATTAATAACGTCTGATCAACCATAATCCCTTGATAATCAAGGAACTTCAGGAGCCGTTCGGAGCCGTTCGGAGCCGTGGGAGCCCCCCTGAACTGATTGCACACACCCCGCTGCCTCCTTCACGGGAGGGGGACTGTTTGCAGGGGAGCCCCCAGCTCGGGGACCACACTGGGGCTTCCTGGGGGGTGGGTGCACAAGAGGGGCCAGCAGCAGGAAACAGAGCCACCCCAGCACCAGCTCCTGCTCCCAAGGCTGGGACCCATGGGCAGACGGGAAGGATGACCCAGAGGAAGGACAAGTAACCATGTGAGAAGGGCACAACTGAGGGAACATTCTAGAAGGAGGCACTGCCCTTGGCCCTGGGAGGGGAAGGGCGGGTGGTGGGAGGGGTGAGAAGGAACAGAAATGGCAGGGAGCGCTGGGCCTGCCCCTCAGGAGCGTGGCTAGTTCCCATCACGTTCTCTGGGCTCCTGCAGCCACGGAGAAGGTGAAACTGTTCCCACCCCTCGTTGGCGGAAAGATGAAGGAGAAGGAGGGTCCTGGGGGCCCAGTGCTCAGAGGCTCCGTCTGTCACCGCGGCTCTGCCGTCCATCCCAGATGCTGGCTGAGAAGGAAGGAAGTAGGAGAAACAAAGCAGAGTGATGGTGGGGGTGGCGGGGATGTGGGATCTGTGCTGGGGGCCGGGGACGTGGCTGATGCGTGGCCCTCCTGCCACCCGCAGGGTACCAGATCGCCTACCGCCTGGCCAGCAGCAGCCCTAACACATTCACCACGGTGGAGGTGGGCGCCACAGTGAGGCAGTTCACGGCCACCGAGCTGGCCCCGGAGTCGGCGTACGTCTTCAGGCTGTCGGCCAAGACGAGGCAGGGCTGGGGGGAGCCACTGGAGGCCACCGTCATCACCACTGAGAAGAGAGGTAAGACACCAGGCCTAAGTCCACTGTCATGGTGCTACAGGGAGGAGAGTGGGCCTGAGTGGGAGCCTGGAGGTTGCTGGGTCAGGCCCTGGGTGGCCACACCTGCAGCCGGGCACATTACCATGTCTACACAACCCAGCATCTACCAGACAGGCATGAACATCCCAGGTTTAAAGATGGAGACGCGGCTCAGAGAGGTTGTGTGACTGGCCCAGGGTTGCTCCGAGTCACCGTGCTTAAGGGCAGCTGCCTAAAGCCAGGCACTTGATTTCTGAGGTTCAAAACCACGTGCCCAGCTGAGCGGATGCTCAATAAACATATTTTGTACTGAGCAGCCCTAGGGAATTCTGTCCTCATGGACACCTCTTCTGTTCTAAGCCCTGGTGAGGTACATTGGCTTGGTACCTCTTCACCAAAGCCTGAGGAAGAAAGCGCTGTGAGCCCAATTCTATGAAAGAGACAGGGGAGCCCGGACAGATTGGTCATTTGCCCAGGACACAGCTGTGAGGCAGTGATGAGGACACCCTCCATAGGCCCCCAGGCCACTTCTTCCCACAGAAATCTGCTGCGGGTTCCCATCTCAGTGAGCCCCTGACATGCTCTGGAGCCTCGCTCTGCAATCTGTCTTGGCAGGCTCCCTCTCCAGGCCCACCGCTATGGGGCCTTGGGGGCTTTGGGGGCCTCGTACGCAAGCAGTTCTGGCTGCCACTGCAGGTTCTGAGGTCAGGGCCAACCCCAGCAGTCTCAGGAAAGAGTACGACAGGAAGGCCCTTGCACACATGAGTATGTTCAGATAGATGACCTACCCTGCCTCCCATCTAGGAGTCCCCAAGCACCAGGCTCTGGAGTTGTGTGACCCTAGGCAAGGCCCTTCCCCTCTCTGTGCCCTGACGACCACCTGGTGACCTCTTAGCAAGCACTTGGGTCAGCGCAGGGCCCCCGAGGGCCAGCATGACCATCAGACCTCCAGCCCAGAGCTGGTGCGATGTCCATGCTCAGAGTAGGAGCCAGTATTACTGCTGCCTACATCATCACTTTATGACAAGATCTAGAGCAGTCTATCTAAGGGACACATGAGCTGACCCCAGGATGCCTGAATAACAATCTGAAAGGCCGATCCAAAATCTACAAAAGGTAGAAGGCAAAGGAGGCTGTCATGCACTGAGCCCTCACCACATTCTGGTACCTTCCAGGCATTGCAGCCCACTCCTCTGTCTAATTCCCACACAAGCAGGTCAAATGGGTGGGGAAACTGATGCCCCACAAGGTGCAAGACCCTGCTGAGGTCCAGCTCGATGGCCACACTGGGTGGAATATCTGGCTGCCCAGGAATGGGCTGCTTGGCCCAGGCACACGGCTGACCCTCCTGATGGCCAGGGGGCGGGGGCGGACGCTGTCATCACCTATCTGTGGCTTCGAATCTTCCAAGGACTCCATGCCTTCCAGGGGAAGACCAAACCCTTCAGCCTGCTGTGAGTCCCCAAACCCCAAACCTCTGAGCCCCAGGTGGCAGAGGAGGACAATGCCCACTCCGGAGCTGCCCAGCGGCACCAAATGCATAGCCCTTCCTCCGTTGTCTACCGTTACCTCTGTTGTTAACTGGAGGATGGAAGGCTTGGAGTCACCAGAGATGCCAAGGCGTGAAGCAGATGGGGAGACAGCCATGCACACTCGGTCCCCTGACCATCAACACACAATGCTGTCTGGCCCATGGTCCCAGCACAGGGGCCCCGAACAGAGGACACTGGTGCCAGGACTACCCCCTCCTGCAGTGGTGGCCAGGGTCCTCAGGTTCCTCCTTGTCCGGGACGTGGTCGGGGTCAGCAGCCAGGGCTGAGGGAGCAGCTAGGGCCCTGAGTGCCTCTACCAAAGACTCTTGCCTTCTTCCTCAATGGTGATGAAGCCCCATAGGGAAATCAAGCACTTTCTGAGGCACTGGGACAAGACACAGGTTTGCTAAAGATTTGATGTGACTTAAATCCAAGTGGAAGCATTAACAACAAGTGCCCTCCAAGAGGCACCCTGGTCCACAGCAGGGCTGCTGCTGATGGGGCTAGGGGACACATGCCCACACCCAGCCCACACCCTGACCACCTGTTCCACCTGCCTTGGGCCCATAGAGTTTAGGGGATTTGGGCCAGGGCTTGCAGACCACCCCCAGCAGAACTTCCCCAATTGTCACAATGCCCAGGAGCGTGGTCCTCGCAGCTGGCAAGGGGCCGCAGGGCTGTCACGCGGGTCAAGGAGGGCCAGGGCAGCCCAAGCATGTGCTCCCAGAGGAGCGCCGACCACAGAAGGTGGAAAAGCTCCTCCCGCCCGTCACCGCAGGCTGGCAACCAGTTGCTGCTTTATTACCCGCCACACATTTTCAACAGGATCGATAATCTTCATGATAAACAATTAAACAATTATTCCTCCCTCTGTGGAGTTTCCCTGTTGAAATCGATGGGGCGAGGAGACGCACCACAGTAACGATCCATGCTCAGGGGCCTGGTCCCAGCCGCCTGCGCTCCCAGTCACCAGTGCTATAGGCACAGAGCAGTGGCGACAGCCCCTGGAGGAGCTGAGCGGGACACTGTGGGTGTTCAGGCTCCAGTTGGCTTCTGGGGAGAGGAAGTCAGTCTGACAGATGCGCTGAGCCTGTGATCAGAGGGAAAGTCCGCAGGAGAGCCCAGGTGTCCTCAGTGATGCCCGCAGGGATGTGTGGCTGTCCAGGAGCATGTGTGGGCTCACCCTCTTGTCTGTTTGTCTGTCTCTGCAAGAGCAGCACTCCGGGAGCAAGCCAGAGCATCCAGTCCAATCCAGGCTGGGTGGGTCCAGGGTGAGCAGTGAGAGAGCTGCAGGTGCCTGGGCATCGGCTCCGTATGGTCTGAGCTCGTGCGCAGCTGGCAGTCCCCATGCTGGATCTCATGTGGAGCAGCAGCCCCTCACCTGTCCCTGGTCTGTTCTCTTCTGGTTGCAGAGCGACCGGCACCCCCCCGGGAGCTCCTGGTGCCCCAGGCAGAAGTGACTGCACGCAGCCTCCGGCTCCAGTGGGTCCCGGGCAGCGACGGGGCCTCCCCAATTCGCTACTTCACGGTGCAGGTGCGAGAGCTGCCCCGCGGAGAGTGGCAGACCTACTCCTCGTCCATCAGCCACGAGGCCACCGCCTGTGCTGTCGAAAGGTACCCAGAGCCAGGCGGACGTGCCCCGGGGAATGGGCCCTGCCGCTCCTGCCCAGGACTGGGGAAGCTGACTGCTCACGTCTCTCTAGTGCCAGGGACCAGGATTGCCACATCCTGGAGCCTGCTCAGGCCCCTCCCCCGGGTCTGTCCTTCCAGGCATGCCCTGGGCAGGCGGCTTGCACACTCTGGGTCCCAGGGATGGATGAGGCACAGATGACGGGAACAGTGAGCCTGGACATGTAGGCTCCATCACCCTATCCCCTAAGAGGTGGATGTGGAGGAGGGGAGGTGTGGGGAAGGGGTATCACGGGCTGAGAGGGTTGCACCTTCTCTTGTGCTCTCTCTTTTAGTCAACAAGGCAGATAATTCCCCCTCCTGCTGTCATCCACTATGATGGCCAATCAGGGACATGGGAGGGGCATCCCCACTGCACCATGAGAACCCAGCATTTATCCAATTACTGAGTGAGCCACCAGGGAAAGGCAGAGGAGAGTGATGCTGACCACCACAGCTGAGCTCTTGGCACCCACGGTCTTATTTAGGCCCCTTCTCATTCCCCACCCCACTCTACAATGAAGGACAAGGGTACCCCCTTGTATGGTAGGAGACTAGGGCACCCCCCTCTGCAGTGAGGGATGAGGGCATCCCCTCTACGGTAGGGAAGAGGGCAACCTCCTTTACAGTGAGGGATGAGGACACCAGCTCTACAGTGGGACACCAGAGCACCCCCTCTATAATTAGAGATCAGGGCACTGCTGTCTATGCTGGGGGACGAGGGCACCCCCTCTACAGTGGGAGACCAGGGCAACCCCTCTATGCTGGGGAACAAGGGAACCCCCTCTACAGTGAGGGACCAGGGCATCCCCTCTCTGGTGGGAGTCTATGGCAACCCCCTCTATAGTTAGAGACTAGGACACCACCCTCAATGCTGGGGGATGAGGGTACCCCCCTCTACAATGGGAGACCAGGCACCTCCTCTATGCTGGGGGACAAGGGCTATATAACCATCTAGGTGAGAGTTCTCAGAAGTGACCTCAGGCCCTGCATCCCTCCCTGGGGGGCCTGGGCTGGGCAGGTTCACAGCACCCTGCAGAAGCCCCCTGGGTCTGAACGGTGGGCAGGCCTGTCCATGAAGCTGGCAGGGCGTCTTTCCTGTCCTCTTTCTCTGGCCCTGACTTGGGTCACTTTCCATGAAGCTCACATCAGGCTGTGAGGGGGCCACTGAGGAGTGAGTCCCACTGGCTCCGAGGGTTCCAGGACCCTAGCCAGTAGCTCCCATGGGGAGGGTGGAGGAGGCCAAGACCCCATTTCCCAGGCCGCCAGCATTCCTCTCACCTTTCAGACAGAACACATACTCATTGCCCCCCAACCTGGGCACCGTGCTGGGAAATCTCACACACATTTCTCATTGACCCTGCATGATGGCCCAGTGGGGGACATCACCATCCCCATTCTGCAGAGGAGAGCTGAGGGTCAGAAGGGTCACACTCGCTGCAGCCCCAGCATCTCCTGACCCTCCTCCTTTGCAAGGCCACCTGGCTCTGCTTCTGCACTCTGCTGAACCTGAGCAGAAGGAGGGTTGTGGAGCAGCTGGGGCGGTGGGAGTTGGGGGGCTCCTGCAGCAGCCTGCATCCTCAGGCATCCCCACTCCCACCCTGGGCACAGTTCAGGCTGTGAGGGAGGGGTGAGGGCTGGCTGATGCGTGGCTCTGTCACTGCGTCTGACACGCAGCAACAGCAAAGTTTATAGAGAAAAGGAGCTCCGCGTAAGCATGTGACAGGTAACGCGTTATGCACAGGTGGGTTGTCACACTGGGGCATCATGGGAAGGGAGACTATCCAGGCTCAGGTTGGCTTCCGGCTACCTGCCATGTGGTGGTCTTAGGCAGCTCCTTGGCACTCACCTTTGGGGTTGTGGCACCATTTGGAGGCCATGCGGTGCCTGGTGGCACCAGGCCCAGGACAGTGGCGCCCCCCCCCCCACACTGCCCACCCGGGAGGCACGGCTACATGTCCAGCGTTCACCTTCATAGCACATCCGCAGGTGGGGCGGCCCCAAGCAGATCGCTTGGATCTCCCAGCATCTCCATCGCGGCTCCCAGACCTAACGCCCAGGTTGTGCCTTCGGAGAGGGTGACAGTCCAAGAAGGAAGGCAGCTCATCAGCTTACAGCTCCAGCTGCTCGGGGCCCAAATCTGCTCGGTGCACAGTGACCCCCTCCATCACGGCTCCTCTGAGTGGAGGGCGAAAGGTCCCAAGCACAGGTACTCTTTCCAGCACGGCTGGAGGCACCGTCTGGCTCCCCACTAGAAGGGGCCACAGTAGCTCAGATGTGTGCAGTGGTGAGTGAGTTGACCTTTAGAAAACTGGTTACGGTTCCATCTTTTATTTCACTCTTCACCGGAGGAGAAGAGGACTGGATGCTCACCTCTGTGACCCGGTCTGGCAACTCAGGGCATTAAAGCTCCCACAGGCTCTTCCCACCGTGGTTACTGTGATTGTCACTATCATTACCGCTGCCACCCCAATGCTAGACAGCCTCTCCTCTTCAGCAGTTTCTGTGTTCTGCCCTATACGTTGTCGGCAGCAGGCCTGCAGACACACAGACCTTGCACACGAGGAGGTAGAGGTGTAGACATCCTAAGTCCTGAGCGTGCTCCCCCGGGTGGCAGCCAGAGGCCCTCAGGGTCCCCAGCTCTGGGGACATTTGCTTGGCCCATAGCCCAAAGTCTCACAGCCACAGACCACCCAGCTAACTTTCACACTGTGGCTGGTGAAGAATCAGTTGCTGTCACCTAGGCAGCAAGCCCTCGCCACCTGTCTGCCCATCAGTGGCCGTGGGGCCAGGGAAAGTCCATGTTAGCTTGTGAAGCCTCATTCCCTCATCTGTGGAAGACAGAGATGGAGGGGTGACCCTGTTGGTCCTCTCAGCTCTGTAAGCCCAAGGTTTGCCTCCATTACTGATGGCAGTGACCCAGCTGCCATCTCAGAAGGCAATCCCAAGTAGTCCCACTCTGCCCACTCAGATCCTACCAGCATCCCACTTCCCCTCTGAACGACAGCCACACAACCTGGGAGACCCAGCTCTCAGCCCCTTGCACCACCCCCTCCAGAGCCCCGAGTTCCCCCAGGAGGCCCTGAGGGTCGGGGGGCATGGCCAAGAGTGACCAGATGGCTTCATAAACCACACTCCGTTGCACTGGGTGCGTAGCTTCATTAGAATGTGCTTATGGATAAAAAAAAAAATAGCATCACTCCTTTGTGTAACCATCTGAAAGAAAGGAGAAAAACAAAATCCAGTGACCTTTTCTATCCTGGGGCCTCCTAAAAGCAAACAGACCAATGGAGTGCAGGGGACTTCACGTTGGAAAGGAGGGGCCCATGCCTCCCGGCAGACCGTTTGATTTGGTGTGGGAGAAGCTGTGGTGGGTCCCCTCCAGGGCCCACTCTGGCCGCCAGCAGGAACACATCACGTTCCAGGAAAGCAGAGCTTTGCACATTGCCACGTCACGACCTCCTTCCTATTCCGATAGCCGCAGAGCTGCTCTCTCCTTCTTTTTCTCTGTTTTTTTTTCACAATTTACTTTTGCCAGTTTCATGAAGTCTGCTAATGACCAGAAAGCATGAAAGTTTAAACAAAAGTTCAAAGCAAAAAGTTTAACAATCTGCATCGAGCGGCTGTCCCCACATCTAGTGGGTGTGGGAACAGGAGGGGAGGTGCCGGGTTGAGGGACATAGCAGGGCAGCATCCGTTCCTAGTGGGAATGCAGTACAGTTGAAGAGGAGGTGGCCCGTGAGCCCAGAGCCACATGGACATTCTGGGTGTCACTAGGATGGCAACAGCGGCAGTGTGTGCTCAGGCGATGGTCCTGTACCCACTGATAGCAGGTCCTGCCATTCCTCTGAGCATCCCCGGGGGACACTATGAACGCAAGCACGGGGGCAGAAAGGGATTACATGTGGAACAAGAGGGATTCCGTTCAAGCCAGGATGCTGGCCCTGTCTCCATTGGGAGACGGCCAGTCCTTTCTTTTCTTCTTCTGTGTCATCTTTAAAAATGAAGTCACGTGAAAAGCAGGTAAATTTGGCCAAGGATATTATGCATGGTTCTATATTCTTTGCTCTTTGTGATGCAAATCTTGAGTTCTTAATAGATGTTTTCAGTACCTTAAAGGTGAATAAATCAATACATAAAGGCAGTGGTAGGTAGCTTCCAAAATGATCTGGACTCCTGTTTTATTATTATAACCAAACCAGTCGAATGAATCTAGGCAGCTCCTTCTGTTTATGAGACTCTGCCTCTGGCTCCATGGGAGGCACAGGGACTGGAAGCCGCATCCGCACCACCCCAGCCAAGTACTTTGGCCATGGAGCTAAACACAGGCAAGAGGGTAGCGATGGCACACAGGTCAAGCACGAGCTTGCTTTCTAATTGTGCTTCCTTCCTGCGAGCTTGGACAGTGAGGTTCCATGCCAACCAAATCTGTTCATTTCCTCAGTTTGGGATGGCTAGAATTTAGATAAAGGTGTTACTTCAAATGTTTACCTAAATCCAGCCGGTGTCCAAGTTCAGACGGCAGAAAATTGGCAGGCAAGGGATGCTAGGTGCAAAGAGGCCAAGGGAGTCTGCACCTGGCAGGTGTGTCTGGGGACAGTGAGGTTGCCATGGGCAGGGGACAGGGGAAAGCCTTTGGGAACGTGAGAAAGAGGTGATTCTTAGGAATTGCTAACTGTGTGCCTAGATCCATCATGCTCCATAAGAAGGTCATGTCATGTGACTGTCATAGCAGCTCTGGGATCCTCAGAGAAGGTCACTGACTGGCCCAGGCTGGGGGGTGGCAGGACCAGACTCTGAATTCTGGTTGGGCCGACCCTGAGATAGGCCTGGGCAAGTGAATAGGGAGCTTACAGGTGTTGAAGGGTGTTGAGGGAGGGTGTCCAGGATGATTTGTGCCTTTCCTCAGGGGTCATCAGCCCTGAAGTGCTGCTCTGCTCCAGGGGGAAGCATGACAGGAGCACGGGGGGTAGACCAGTGGTCCGAAGGCCCAGCTATGCAGGGATGAGGAGGAGGGGCGGGATGAGCTCGCAGGGCATGCAAGCTGTTGTCACTTCTCATCGGGCTCCCTTCACAGCTGCTGAGTCTCTCTGGGCCTGTTTTTAGGGCACCTGGTGGGCTTCCTACCCAGAGGCGAGGGTAATCCCCTGCACCTGAGCCCCTGGTATGCCCTGCAGCTCCCCAGAAGGCCAATGGTTCTGTGAATGGCACAAGCCCAGGAAACAAGACCAATGCTGGGAACCCTGCTTCCTGCTCTCCGGCACCCTCCCCTTGACCTCAGACCAGGCTGACTCTTCCAGCCACCTGACAGGCATGTGCTGCACCCCTGCTCTGTGCCCCAGGTGGGAAAGGAGGGCTTGGCACCAGCCTCAGACTCCGAGAGCTTTCGACAACAGTGAGGTACTAAAGATGAAGGATCAGTGACATGGCTGACACATGTCCTGAATGTCATATGATAAATGAACGTGAGCGCTAAATACAAGGACAAGGGTCACACACAGCAGTAAATGAGGCCACCTCTGTCCCTGTCTCTGGGGAAATGCAGACAATTGTCAAGGTGAGGTTGGTGAAGGATTGGACAGGCCTAGAGGATGGCATGCAGGGACAGGCTCTTCCTGGAGCCACTCGAGCTACTGTCAGAGGGTCCTGATGAGGACAGGCAGGATTCAGTGATTACGCAGTGGGTGCCAGAGCTTCTTCCTAGTGCTTCTCCTAAATGCAACGTCGGTGCTCCAGTCAGCCCAGGTGAGGAGCCTGCAGCACACCGACCCACCGAGGTTATGTGGGAGTTAGTGTGTAGGTACTTTGGCTCCGGAGTGCACGCTCCTGGCAACCACCCTGCACTGCCTTCTAATCCGAGGAGGAGAAACTAATGCAAATGTGGGGCCTCGGGTGGGTGAGGCAGGAACCAAAGAAGAAAACCATGTGGTTGTCACCAGAATTAGATAAAGTAGCTCCTAGGAAGCCAGGAACAGATGGGAAGTTATTTGTCTTAACTTAATAAAGGATATCTCCCCTGGAAACTGGGAATAAAGATCATTCTTAAGGGTGGAACTTTGGAAGCACCCCAGGACAGCCAGGGCCAAAGCAAGGTTGCCCGGCATTGCTTCTCTCCAGCTGGGCGGTGGGGGCACAGAGAGGCCAGGAGACAGGCCTGCGGTCGCAGACCAGCCACAGCCGGGCAAGCTGGCGTGGCAGAGGGCTTGAGGGAAGAGCATCCTTTGAGATGCTGGCCGACAGAGAATCCCGTAATCCTGTCTTAAGCAGGAGGGTGTACAGAAACAGAATTAGAGGAAGATACGTTCAAAGATGGTTATTATCATTGCTTAAAAATGTAGAATCTTTCCTCCTGGCAAAGTATTACCCAGATCCACTTGCAAACCAAATGGAAGTGGGCTGTTCTTGGCTCATGCAGGGGAGTTGGGGACCCCCTGGTCTCCTAGAGGGCTCCTCAGAGCCTCCGGGGTTGAAACCCATGAGATTGCAGATTGGTCTGGAAGGGAGGACAGGGGACCTGCTTAGAGGCGGCAAGGCCTTTATCTACTGTAGCTGAGGAAGCCGGCATTGTGGACCTGAGGGAAAGGGAGGCAGAGTGCAGACCGCTCCTGCTTTCCTGGTCTGGGAGATGGACACAGGGGCTGGGCCTGGCCCGAAACAGAGCTGCTACCAGCGGGGCAAGGGCAGGCGGTCTCCTCATCTGCTCTCTCAGAAGTAATGGCAAGGACAGCCAGGGACCCGAGGAGGACGGGAGCATCATCTGCTTAGAAGTTTGTCCAGAGTCTGTGTGGTACAGAGTTCAGCACAGGACAGTGGCTGGAGGGAGGGAGGGAGGGAGAAAGGGAGGTGGGCCTAAGTGGTGGTGCGCCCAGAGCATTACTGCCCCTTAAGTCCCCATCAGCAGGCAAGTGGGCACATTTCCCCCCATGGACAGTGGACATTACCTAGGTCTTGGGTACAGTGGAGGGATGGCCTCAAGGCAAGATCCTCTTCCCATCCTGGCCAAGCCATGGCGGGTCCTCTGGCAGAGGGCAAGGGACTTCATGCGACCAAGCCTCTGTATTCTCATCCCTGCAATAGGAATCACAATGAGTCTCCCCCAAGAGCTGCTGGGCGCCTAACCGGGCACTGCCTGGCCAGGGCTTGGCGCCGTGTCCCGCCTGGCAAACGGTGGGGACGCGGGGCAGGGGGCAGGCCTTGGAGCCAGGCGGCCAGCCGGTGCGGACCTCCACAAAGGAGTGCTTGTGGGTGAGCGAGGAAGTGGTTAGGCAGCCCTCGTTTCACGCCCTGAATCCATGTGAGGGCTGCGGTAATTAGCTCCTCCTGAGAAATTCTCACATCCCTCAGAGAGTGGTGATTTGCCTTGCAGGAGAGGCTCTAATTACAGGAGGAGCCCCAAGTACAGCCGCCCCCCCCGGGCTGGGAAGTTCTGCGCTGCCCTCCGTCTGGAAACCCCGCTGTCCCCGGGGGCCCACTCAGAAGACAATGCTGGCTGCTGAGGGCCTCCCTGGGCAGCACTGGTTGAGGGGCCCTGAGCACATATCCTCCCGGCTGCCCGCTCACTGTGGCTGGAGCTTGGGGCGGGACAGAGGGAAAGGGCTCAGGCACTCATGGCTCCTCTGTGTTTCAGGCTAAGGCCCTTCACTTCCTACAAGCTGCGCCTGAAAGCCACCAATGATATTGGGGACAGTGACTTCAGTGCCGAGACGGACGCAGTCACCACACTGCAGGACGGTGAGCCAGCTGGGACCCAGGCGGGTGTGCGAATACTGGCCCTTTCCCAGCTGCCGCCTTAGGACCCGGAGACTTGGGCTCCCAGGGAGAGAGGCCCCGCTTTCATCCCAAGCCAGGAAGGGGTCACCCAAGGGGGATCAGGCAATGGCTGGCGAGCATAGAATTCAATTAGCAGCAGAGAGCTCGGGGTGCCCCGTTACAGCCTGTGGCTGTGAAGCCAACTTCAAGGGCTTCCCAAATGGAATGGAGGTTTCTTTGATTGGCTTCCAATCCCCTACGATCCATTAGCATCCTAGAAATTGAATAATTTATAGGGTCATTAAAAATAAATGTGTAAGGGTAGCTGGGTTTTGAGAGGTTTCCCCATTTTTCCTTATTCACAAACCACTCTACAGCTTTACCATTTGACAGAAGCACAGGTAAGTGATGGAGGTGAGGTCCCCTGAAAGCTCCAGGTGGTTTTTACCCACTGTCTCCCACCTCAGAGGAGCAGGCCTGAAGAACCCTGGTGAATTTGGGTGCTGATCCTGCCAGGCCCTAGCACCAGGAGCCAGCGGCATCCAACACGCCCGGTGGTAGGCCCAACTTTTAGGGCAGAAGGATTGCTCTTGCTTAACAGATGCCGGGGCTTGGATTCCAGGCTGCGAGCCTGAGCCCTCACCACCTGACAGCACTGAGTACCAATTCCCCAAGTTTCCATCTTCCTCTTTTATAGCCTGGGAGCATGGCCTCAACAACATGGGGCCTCAGGTGAGCGAGGAACCAGCCGATGAGGATGCGGAAGCCCTTCCAGCAGCTTCTTGGCCTCGAGCAGATATTCCTTTGCTGCACAGCCAGGGCACCTGCCGCTTGGACAGGCCCCTCGAGAAACCATGGTTGTCTTTGTGGCTCATACTTTAATCTTACATTTAACACAGCTGAGGTTCTATTTGGAAGTAAGCGCTAATTCGTAGAAGAAAGAAGCAAACACAACAAGCTAATTTTGTTGGCGAGTCACTGAGGAAATGGCAAGCCAGTGAGCAGGACACCACAGACTCCCTTTGCCCTTACAGAGCCCCGTCAGAACTGGCCTGTTTTGAAAAAAACATCCAAGGACCACTCCAGGCTCCCAAAGCCCTGTCTTAATCCTTTGATATTTAAATCATTTCTTTTGATGAACCTATGCTGTTATCTCCCTCTTCTGAGATTTGCAATTTCTCTTCACAGTTGACTGCATTGTGTCTGCACTGTATTGTCTCCAGAATCACAGATTCAATGAGACTGGCAGACTGCAGGGCTCCGGGAGCTCTGGGCTGGGGGGACAGGATGGAGGGCTTTCAATGGGTGGATGGTCTGCTGATAAACATTTTCCTATCATGGTGGTTGGAATATTGAGACCCCTCCCCATAATTGTCATCCTGCGTGATACTCTGTGGACTTCAGACAGACGAGTGGGAGGCCAGGGTGCGTTAGGTAGAGGCTCCCCAGAAGGCAGGATGGAGGGCTGGAGGTGCAGCTGATGCAGCTGTCTCCCAGAGGCCAGGTGCCCTGGCAGGTGCAGAAGAGACTCACAGTGCAGGTGCCCGAGAGACCAAGTCTCAGGTAGTCAAGTGCGGAGGGCGTGGGAAGAGCAGCTTTGGTCTCGGCACCCACTGACTATTGGAGAACATTTGATATACAGTCTCAGGATCTTACAGCAGGCAGCCACAGAAAGGCCAAGCCAGTATGCCGACCCAGGACCACACAGGTTCAGTGGGAGCAGTGGTAAGGAGGGGGTGTCAGAGAGGTCCACTGGACGAGATGCACGGATGGCTGCAGGATTGCAGTTTCCAGCCTGCAGGATATATATCCATGGGCAGAGCCAAACTGACCTTATCCCTCCAGAGAGCAGAGTAGAGCTGCCGCCACCAATGCCCAAGCTCAACAAGCGTCCCCCAACCCCCAGCAGTCAGCTTCCCTCCATGGCAGTCACGTCCAGAGTATGAAGCCAGAGCACTCTGGCCTGGCTTGATCCTTTGTCCTGTTCAGAGCCTCTCTGAACTACGTGCCTCAGAAACATGATGTCTCTCCTGGAGAGAGGGATGTGGGCCACTGAGAAGCTATGCGACAGCAGGGGGCTCCCTAGGCAGGGTCCCCAGGGAGGAGAGCCAAGCATTTTTGTGTGTCTCTGTGTAGGTCTGCCAGGGGGTGCAGTCGGGGTTGAAGGGGGTGAAGGCAGGGCATTATGTTGTCACCTTCCCCAGGATCAGGTCCCTTCCACCCAGGTGGGCATAGGCTCTGCAGGTGGATAAGGGCATTCATGGAAGGGAGAGGAGGGAGGGAGGCGGGGATGTTGGTGCTGGAGCCCCCCCTCCCCTCCCCTGCCAGGCCTGGGCCCTGCCTCCTTGCCAGAACAGAAAGAGAGCTGGCTCCAGAACAGCGGGCAAGTACAAGCAGACCCAGCTAATCCTCGCTTTCTTCTTTTTCGGGTTCCAGTTCCGGGAGAGCCTCCAAGCTTCATCTCTGTGACCCCGCACACCACCTCCTCTGTTCTGATCCAGTGGCGGGTAAGGACCCGGGAAGGGCAGGGTGTTCCCTAAACCAGCGTTGGAGGCTGGAACCTGACCGCGGGCTGGCCCCCACCGTCGAAGGGTTGGTGGCAGGTCAGAGGAAACAGTGTGGTCCACAGGCCCACAGGGAGGGGGCCCCACACCATGGGAAGGAGCTTGAGCACAGCCCACTGGGGAGGGCCAGCAGGACAGCAGGGCTGGTGCAGAGCATCTGGGGCTGACCATTCCAGGCTTCTGGGAAAGGGTGGCCCAGCAAGGCTTCCACAGCACAGGCAAAACCTGGGTGGTGTCCAGCAGGGCCAGGAAACCACAGCTGGTGGAGTTATCTTCTCTACAGGAATCATTCACAACCAGACAAAATGCCCACGGAGTTACGTGTGTCCTCCCTACATCCCAGGTGTTAATCCTCAGTGAACAGTCAAATCAAGGCATGTTATCCTAGACCATCAAGTAATCTTGGTGGGCCGTGAATAGCACTATGATATGACGTCGAAAGGATACTCTACCCTCTTTGCCTTATTTCTCATTTGGGTACTTTTGCCAACAGCAGTGTGCATTGAAGACAAAAATAACAGGGGAGAACTGCCCTGTCCCAGGGCAAGCCCAGAGGGTGCTCATCATGTCTGTGGGAGGGGGCTCAGCCAGGTGGGGGTGTCGGGTTCAGGAGCCAGGCTGGAGCCAGGTTAGATAGGCATGGCACACCAACAGGCAGGGCCAAGGGCAGTGATGAGAATGTCGTGGGAGCTCTGGCCAAGAAGGGGAGTTCCTGAGGCCAGAATGGGGTGGCCGTCCTGGGGAGGGGGAACACATCACCTAGAGCTGGGGGACCATGGGGTAGGGAGGTGGGAGCAGGTGCCATGGTCTGTGTTCAAGGCCACAGTGAGGTGAGGTCTGCCTAGGAGTGACCATGGCAGGCTGGCAGTCCACAGAGGGGTCTGTGCGGCTGGGCTTCTCCCTCCAGGTTAATGAGATTGTCTAGGAGAGTGCCAGCATCACACAGAGACCAAGCAGGAGAGAGGGGACAGTTTGAGGGTCAGGAGATGTAGGGGCCCAGGTGATGCTGGAACCAAGTGCAAACTGTGGTCTGGACATGGCCTTGGAGAGGCAGAGGCCATGCTTTGCTGGGAACAGAGGCGGGCAAGAGGGGAGGGCTGGCAGGACTTCCCTTGGAAAAGGAGGGGCCAAACAGCATGGGTGGGCCTATGGGCGCCCTCAGGGAGCCTGTCCTCCACAGGCCTTGTTGGCTGAGACAGAGCATGCTAGAGACCCCTCCAAGTGAGAGTTGGTGCCTAGCAAGGAGCAAAGGGGAGAGCAGTGCCAAGTCAGGAGCACCCCCTGGCTTCCTGGGGCTGCTAACGGGTGGGAAGTCAGGGCAGGAAGACCAGGGTTGGGGAGCCTACGCCAGCCACGAAGGGGCTTCCTGAATTCTCAGGTGGTGGCTCCTAACTACTGAAGGTTCCCGCTGCTTCCCCCTCTGTGGCAACTCAGTGGCATCAGTAGATATTAGTTCCATTCATGTACAGTTTGACCAGGAGTGAGGAGCGCAGGTGGAAGTTCCATGCAGTTCAACTGAACAGAACCTAACACAGCTGCTCCACGAGGGACAGAGCTGGGCTCCGTGAAACACACATAATCTTTGGATATTGCTGGAGTGGCTGTGGGCCCCTTCTTCACTCTACTGCCAAGTGACGCATCTCGGAGGGAACCCTTGAAGGTGATCAAGAGGCAGTTTCAAATGTCTTCCAATGAACATGGAAATTTGCTACCTGGTATTCTGTAGTTTCCAGCCTCATCAGAGTGTGGGGACAGGATGGGCACTAGCTGCCATCCCTGCCTTTGAAAAGCTGTGTCCCCTGAGCTTATCTCGGGGCCCCAGTTAAGTGACAAAGGGCCTGGTTCTAGGTCTAAAGGCCCCAGTTTGCCAGTGGGTGACTGTAGCCCCAACAGGCCTCTCTGGCTCCCTCTTCTTCCTCTGTAAAAATAGGTCAAAGGTGACCTCCAAAGTCTGAAGCAAGGCCCATTAGGTCTTCACACCCCGGACTCCCAATAGGGCCTTTGGTAGGAGGTAAGAGACATTCCAAGAAATTCAAGGTCCCAAGAGCTTCTGTTTCCCACCTTCCACTAACTCAATCAACCAAAGATTGGTCTTTTCTACTGGCAAGTAGAAAAGTGCTAAATTCTACCACAAAATTAGCATTTTCTTTATAGACACGGCCTTTGACTTGCCAGTAACTAGGTAAGCTCCTTTTCTATAAAGGCAGCACAGAGGCTTGGGACGGACCATCACCTCCACACAGTGGCTGCAGGCCTCCGCCATCCTATCCACCCCTTCCCCAAGCATGCAGAGCTCCGAGCCCCGTGGTTTCGGTTGGACAGCTCTGTGAGTGGCGGGTAGCTGTACCCAAGAAACTTGGCATGTGTGTCCATCAGCTGTCCCCGTTCGGAGCCCAGTAGAACAAACTAATTGCAAGAAGCCTAGAGCAGGAGGTGGTCAATATGATGTATTGTACAAATAAATGCCTGTCAACTGCCAGGCAATTGAAGTATAATTAAAATTATGAGTAATTTACTAAATCAGAGTGAACAGAACAAAGACACTATGTTTAAATATAGATTTGCATTCCAAATGAAATGTTTCACCTGTAAACCCCCTTTTTTCCCAGTAATTTGTTTAAAAATGCGAACACCGTCTGTAATTTCAAGGCTGCTGACCCACTTAAATGTCTCCTCCATAGAAACTGTCAGGTTTGATTTTTCCTGGTAGGATAATCAATCTCTGCCTTTCACAAGGTCCAGTGCTATTTGAAATCTAAGGATTTGAGCGTGTGTTCTAGACAGTGGCAGTATTGTGTTCACACTGAATGTAGCTCATAATAGACATCAGCATTTCTGAATTGGTCACAACACTTCAGCTGGCTGCTCTGAAACTTCCAGTGGCTCATATAGCCTGTCATGCAAGTGCAGTCCCCCTTGTGTGGCTGTAGACTTCCCTAAGTGGATTTTGAGACCATTTTTTTTTTTAGCAAAAAAAAAAAAAATCTTAGCAATAAATCATATCATGCACATTGTTGGACTTAGCAGAAGGTGGACTCGGTGCTGTAATAGAAGCCTTACTAAGAAGAGCATGACCGCCGCCTGGACAGAAGGGAGTAGGCAGCGTGGCCTCTTCAGGACATATTTAGTGTTTGTACCTTTTCTCACATAGACTCCATCATGCACAGAAGACCAGCTCATGTGTAGGGTGCCGAGCACCCAAAGGTGGACAAGACAGACTCCAGGCCTTACAGAACTTCTGTTTCCGGGGTTGAGCCCTATGATGCATTGATGGGAAGACAGTGGAGGGGGAGCAATTAGCCCTGGCCAGGGGAGCTGGGAGGGACTTTTGACTGGGTTTTGTAGAATGAATGCTCCCACACACATACCCCAGGTAAAAGGCAGAGACAGGAATCTGGGCATCACCCAGAGCTATCACAAAGTCCCAGATGTGTGACAGCCCCTGAGACTCAGCACCAGGCATCAAAGGGAGGCATTTTGGAGCCAGATTTTCTAGGGCCTCCTGCACTCAAGCATCTCTGGGCAGATGGCCAGTCCAGGATGAAACTCACTGTAAATGGGGTGATCTTGGACATCAACAAATCCAGCTCACTCCCACAAGCACTGAGTGAGTATCTGCCATGACCAAAGCCTCTCACAGGTGCTGCAGGGAAATAGAAACAAAAAGACACAGACATGGCCTTGCATGGTCAGTGTGGAATCAGAAACAGCATGGAATCAGGCACGGTATGGCCAGGGCCAAGGGCTTGGAGAACAGGTCTGTAGCTTGAAGAGAACCTTTTGTTTAGTCACAGGAGGCTCTAGAGACAATCTGGCCAGATTTCCACTCGCCATGGTTACAGAGCTGAGCCTGGGAGGGTGAGCCACCAGCTGAATCCCACACTGCAAGAAGCCAGGACTTGAATCCAGAGCCTAAACATGGCCCATGGCTTCTAGAACTCTCTGTGGGGCACATGGAACTGCCCTACAGACACCTCCCAGGACATCCAGAGTCTTTCACAAAGGACAGATGGGCTTACTCCAAAACTCTAGGAATGGAAAGTGTGGTTAAGCCCAATTCTGAGTCCCATGCAGGCAGGTCCCAGAATCTCTGTGGAGCCTCTTCTGCTTGCACCTCGAAATCACTCTCTCCTCCTTGGCTAGAAACTTTCATGAGCCCAGGATCCATGGCCTTGGCCCTTCCCCTGTACCCGCTGGCCCCAGAATGTGTGTCTGCTGCCTATTGCAGAACCCCATTTGGTCCCCAGTGACCAAACTCCTAACTTCCTGCTTGTTAATTGTGGTGAGTTAAACCTCAGCTTCTCTCTGTGTGAAGAGCGAATTTCCCTCAAGCCATCAAATCTTGGGCCTCTGCCTCTACAGAGTCAGGCCCTGGGGCTTCACAGCCTTTCTGCGGGGGGTCCGACTGTACTGTGAGGGAGGCTGCGGAGGTGACCCAGTGGTGACATTGCTATGCTGGTACTTAAATAGACCCAGCCGCTCAAGGGTCATCTGCTCACTGGCCTCTTCATCTCATGGATTCAGGCCAGCTCAGGTCCAGGGAAGGAACTGCAGTGTGTCTCATCATTGCTGCCCAAACCCCTGCCATTGCCTCCTTGCTCCACTCGAGCACAGTGCCTGGGGGTGCTCAGCCAGGATGGCCTGAGACTTCCAGGGTACCCAGGAAGGCTGGATGTGGACAGGAGACATCCCCGTATGGTACACCCTGAGCTCCCGTGGTGCGTGTGGTGTGAGCAGATGCATACCAGCAGGGGCTCTTCTGCCTGGTTACCCATCCTTGCTGCCGGGAAACACCAGGGCTCCAAGCTCTCCCGGCTCCCCACGGCCACATCCGGGCACCGAGCCACCATCCCAAGGGACAGAGGCACTGGGATCTGAGGAGCATGTCACTCTGCCCTCCTGGCGGGAGGTCACTTCTCATACCCTTTCTGTAAAATTTAAATGATAGGATGAAGAGAAATCAATTCTTACACATCAGTTTTTTCCAACTTTTCCATGCACCATATTTCTTGAAGAAGGGGGTTAAATAAGCTATTGCAATGCTGTAATAGCCATGTTTTAAGGATGCCCTGTGGGATTAGGATTTTCATTCTCCACTGTGGCCAGTCAGAAAACCAGGCTTAGAGCTGAGGTGGCCAATTGCCTCGACCACCCTGTCTTCTTATGAAGAGACGAGTGTGTATGCACGTTGTGTATGCACACAGTTCCCTCATGATCCACGTCTGCGGGAGGCACACCCACTGACACCATATCTGGCACCAATCAGCAATAATGCTGAAGGGCCCCTACCTCCTTAGAACCAGTGTTCAAAGCAGGGTTTGAGGGACCTAAAAGCTGTTCTGAGTGCAGCTCTGTGAGTGCTGCAGGGAGTAGTTTGAACACAAACCCTGTCACCAACAGCCCGTGTAAGGGAGGGTCTGGCATACTACAGTCTGTGGGCAGGGGCAAACCCCGGATACGAGGGACGCAAGGGTACACCCTCACAGTCATGCACCAGGCCTCTCAAACACTAAGGTTTCATCAAAGTTGGTAGAAAAGGGGAAATTTAATAAAATAGTAAAATGCATAAGAGAACCCCAGCCTGTCACTTACTCCCCAGACTAGGCTTCACCACCAGTTCTCACCTCCTTTCTCTACCTGGAGAAGGCACCAGATCCCACGGGCTAAAGGCTTGGTCCCCAAGGCTGCCCCCCACTTCAGATGCCAATCACGAGTATTGTTGTCACCTGTGCTTCTGACCAACTGGCTGTAAATCAGAAATTCCTACGGCCCCCTCCCTGGGCTTGACCAATATGTCACAGCAGCTCACAGAATCAGAGAAACATCTTATTGATGAGATCACCAGTTCATTATGAAAGGATATAGCTCATAATGAACAGGAACAGCCAGATGGACGAGATGCACAGGACAAGGTATGGGGGGGTTTCCAGGTGTGCCCCTCTCCCTGCATCTCCATGTTTTCACCGACATGGAAGCTCTCCGGATCCCGTCCTCCAGGGTTTTGCAGGGGCTCATTACACAGGCATGACTGATTAAAGTATTGGTTATTGGCCATCGAATGAACCTCCAGCACCTCTCCCCTCCCCAGAAGTCAGGGTGGGACCCTCTGATCACAAGGTTGGTTCTCCTGGAGGCCAGCCCATATCCTTAGGTGACATCTGAATGTCACTCATTAACATGACAAGAGACACCTTTGCCACTCTGGACCAAAGACGTGTATAGAAAAATATCTTGCTCACCTGAGCGACTACCTAGATATTCTTCTGATAAGTCACAACATCTCAATGCATCGCTGCAGCCTCTGCTTCCATGCTCACGTGAAGCTCTCCCTGTGGGTGTGTCCAAACTTCCCTCCTCTTAGAAGGACCTTTGGGTGTTCTTATTGCCTCAGTATTTGTCAAATGATTGCTGGATACTAAGTTGCTTCTCAAAATATGCTTTGTCTTCATCTATAGCAACTGATAATGTGGAACTTCATCAAAATTGGTAGAAACTTGGACTCCCTGTTTGAATTAGCCATTAAAATACCTTGTTCATGTTCATCTGTCCAAAGTTTGCCAATGCGTTTGCAAACAGCTTTGCCATTAGTGACCTCCAAGTTTGAAGGTAGTCCTGTTGTTTTGGGGTGTCATTGAAAAGACCCAGAGAGACTTTCTTTTGGGGCTTACCGAGGGATTGGCAGCCTGAGCATGTATTTGCTCAGGACTGCATGTATGCAAACATCTATGGCAGGTAGATTTCTAGAAGTGTGTAATTGCAAGTGCATTGAAAACTTTGATAAATAAAACCAAATTTCCCTCCAAAAAAGAAACCAGCCATTTGATTAGGGCCCTCCCTACTGCAGTGACCTCCTAACTGCATCACTTCCAGAGACCCTGTTTCCATATAAGGTGGCATCCAAGGGTACTGGGGGTTAGGACACCAACATTATTTTTATAGGGGACACAGTTCAACCCACAACAAGGGGGTTTTTATGCAACAAAGCTGTGGCCTCTACTGTGGGACCAGGACAGAGTTTACTAAGGCACTGGGGGCACCCTAGAGACAGCAGGATAGGAGTCTCAGGAAATTCAGTGTGCATCCCTGTCCCTGGACAAGCTTCATGACCCTGCTGGCACCAGGGTGCTAGGCATGCACTTTGCTCATCTGTCTGGTCACAGCCTTGATGGTTCTTGTCCTTATTTGCTGAGTATCCCAGGGAAGAAAGGGGTCCCAGAGACCCTGACCCCCGACTGGCACTATGGTGGCTGCAGCCTTCCCCAAACTCATTAATCAAGAAATTGACAGGAGGGAGAATGTGGGCTGGGCATCCCGGTGAGCGGGATGAGCATCCCATCGTGGGTTAAATTCTGAGCCTCAGGGCCTGTCTTACCACTGTTCATGTTCCACAGGGTATCTAAACATCGAATGAGCACTTACCCTACCCTAGGCCCTGTGTATGCCAGCCAACATGGGAGGGGCCACAGGGGTTCCCGCTTAGGTCTGAGTCAGGGCAGAGTGGGGGTGACCTGGTGTGCAGAGTAGTAAGTGGGCTGCTACGAGCCTGGGTAGCCATCAGAGACAGTGTGGGGCCAGCCAGTGGATGATGCAGAACCAGCCCATATGTATAGTTCCCCTTGAGTTCTGGGTTCACCAGGCAAGGGCAGCTTCCTCACCCATCTGCGACCTGGGCCATAATGCCCTGCCTTAGCCAGGGGCTCATACAAATATTTGGGCTGCACATGGGATAAGATGCCCAGTGCCCACACACAGGCGCAAGAAAACCCAGGCTCTCAAAACCTGACCCTCTACCTGGAGCTCCCTGCACTCCTCTTCATGAACATGGCACCTACCTTTTTGTCTGCAACCAAGAACCACCTGTTGGTCTGCAACCAAGAACCACTGACTTCCTCCGCCGTTGGCTGATTCAACTTGAAGCAGAGGTGGCCATGCCCTATGGGCTGACCATTACATTATTTGCAGCCTCCTAGAGACGAGAGCCTGAACGGCCTTCTTCAGGGATACCGGATCTACTACCGGGAGCTGGAGTCAGAGGCATCCGCAGCCACTGTGTCCAAGACACTCAAAACCCCTTCGGCTTTACGGGCCGAGCTCACAGGTGAGACGCTTTCCCCATCCATCCTTGCACAGGCGCCACGCTGCGCACCCAGGAGAGCAACCTCTGTGCATGTTCATTACCTACAAGGCATGGTGGGAAATGCCCTGGAGGGTCAGAGGAGACGTGGCTTGCCTCCAGTGAGTACAGCCACTGGAGTGGACAGGTCTCTGGGGAAGCCCAGGCATGCACAGAGAGGTGGTGGCCCATAGAGGGCTCCTGTGCTTTGGTGGCTTCCACCCAGTGCAGAGATCAGGGGAAGCTTCACATGGGAGGAGGAACCATTTGAAATAGGTTGTCAGGGGGAAGGGATTTCACCGAGGACACATGGAAGGTGTGATTTACAAGGCCTGGGAAAGCTAAATGGTCTAGAGATGGGGAGAGCCAAGGGGTTCCTGGATGGAGCCAGCGAGGAGCACCTGCCTGCATGAGGCTGGTGGGGGCGTGCAGGGAGGCAGGAGACAAGCCAGGCCCTCCAGGGTCATCATGTTGCTGCACCAAGTGGAGCAGTGGACAGAGGACCAAGGGAATGGACAGAGGCTGTCAGTGCCGGCTGCACTGATGAGGTCAAGTCAGGGGGCTCCCCGGCCTCATGGCGCATGCACAGCCCTCATGTGGAGTGGTGGCTCCTCTTACCCAGAACAATCCACCTGCTTAGCCATGCTCCCCAGTCCCCCTGGCTCAGGTATGACTCGGATACCACAGCAGCTGAGGCAGCTTCTGGAAAGGCCACTGGCTCTCCCCCATCCTCCTCTCTCAGGAGGTCAGAGGGCATCCCCCAAACTGTCACAGAAGATCTTTCTTACCCTTCAACATCCTTGTAGCTTCAGAATGTGTGGCTCAGGGACCACATCCCTGTTCTCGGCTACCTCACACCCCAGAGCAGGCTGTGCCTTGGGCCTGCTGGGGCCATGGGGCCACAGACCAGCAGCAGCCAGACCCTGCCTATCCCAGGAGTGGTGCCGATGGAAAGAAGTGGCTCGTTTGTCTCCCATGCTCTTGGCCACACACCCCATCCCTACCCCCAGGAATTCCATGCTGAGAGCCTGACAGTATTTCCCTGGGCTTTGTAGTGAAATCGTAACAACAAAGTGAGAGGACCCAGGATGCGGTTAGGTCCATACACCTGGCCTCAGGCGCACTTTGTGGGCTCGCTCACCCCCATCAGAGTAGGGCTCTTACCTGAGCACAGGTAAGCCAACAGCTGTGCCTGCTGCCTGCCGCAGGGTATCTGGAAAAGTTACTGCTCTGGGGGAAACCCATTTCTTGTCTTCTTTAGTGTTATTTGCGTTATGTGCCAGATAACTAGTCTGATCCACCCCGTCAGAGGGTCAGCATGGGCCCCACCTGTCGCGGGCCGGGCTGCCCGGCTGTCTCGGGAAGCAGCACAGGAAGCCCAGAGAGCTAATGGAAAGTGTAGAGGCTGCGGTGTGGACATGCAGCGGTTTCCAAGCCAGGCGCCAGCCCTCCGTTCCTGCAGACATCATTTGCAGTAACTGTTCCTTGCGTGCTAACTGCCTTTCTGCTTTGTTTACCCCTAATAGCCCAAAGCAGCTTCAAGACCGTGAACAGCAGCTCCACGTTAACGACATATGAATTAACACGTAAGTGCGCGCCGCCTTCAGCGGGAGGCGCCGTGACCACGGGGCAGGCTGGGGCCAGTGCCAATTGGCCTCTCAGTGGACCAAGTGAAAAGTAGCTTGGATTAATTGCTCTAATGTCTGGAACTCCCCCTTTCTAACGATGCTCCTCAATGCACCAAAACCATCAGGGAGACAGGAAAGGAAACTTCTAGAAGCAGAGGCTGGGAAGGGGTTTTCCTGACAGCTGACATTTGAATTTGGGAAAGTCCGAAGGAGCCAGATTGCCTGTCTGGTTCCCTTCTGCTTTTTCCTTTTACTCTTTATTTAATTGTGTTAGAACATGTGTAAAATTTATCATTGTAGCTGTTTCTGAACATGCAATTCAGGAGCATTAAGCCCGATCGTGCTGCTGTGCCACCATCAGCGGCCACGTTTGGGGCCTTCCCCATCTCCCAGGTGAGGCGCGGTCCCCGCTAAGCCCTCACACCCTCTTGCACCCAGCCCCTGGCGCCCACCGTCTCCCTTCTGTCCCTGCGTCTGAGGCCTCCAGGGACTGCACGCAATGCCTGTGCTGCTGCGTCTGGCTGCTTCCCCTTCAAGCTTCATCCCTGGGGGGTGCAGACGGGAAGCCCTTCCTCTTCAAGGCTGAGTAGCACCCCACGGCGTGCACTCACCCCACGTTGGCTGCCCGTTCATCGTCCCTTGCCTCTGGCCATGACATGCTTCTTGTCCTTGCGTTCCTGGTCCTCAAAGGGCTCCGTGGTCCAAATGCAGGGCTAAGGGGGCCCCACAGTGTGACTCCCTTCCATGTGGCGAACTTCCCAGGACTGGAACGTGAACAAAGGAAGGGAGGGAGAGGAGCTGGCCCTTCCCAAGGCCCTACTATGTGCGGGCACTCTTTCAGGGCTTGCCAGCACCATCCCCTTGCACCCCCTTGCATCCCCAGCAGTGCCTGGGTAGCTGGCCCCGCCCTGGTGGCCAGGGTGGGAAGCACACCAGCCATCTTCAGCTCCACACTACTCCCCCAAACATGGCTCTACCGTCCCATGTCCCCATCCAGCCACCACTCCACCCATCACCTTTTCTCCTGCGACGTTCCTGATGCAGAAGCAGCTTAGAGAGTCAGAAGCCTGGGTTCCAGAGATAAGGCTTCCCTGGCTGGACCTCACTCCTGGCTTTACAGTCAGGTCATGAAGAAGGAGAGGGACCTGACCACGACAGTGTCCATGTCCACCCTGGCTTGTCTCAGTTGACACTGAGGAGCCGCACAGTCCCGGATGGGCACTGACAGGCCAAGCCATTGCATGCACCCCGGAAGGCAGCCCAGCTTCAGCAAGGCTGAGAGGAGGAGAGGGAGGGTCCCTACCCCACTCTGCGGGCACATCCCAAAGCCGGCAGGGGCAGGATCCTGGTGTTCCCATTCACTGAACCTCTGCTAACCAGTGGTTCCCTGGGAGGCAATATCTGAAGCCTGGCATGAGTCACCATTCGCTCAGGGGGCCACACCTGGGCAGCCCCCCCCCCCCCCGCAAGCCAAGTAATGATGAAGCAATATTAACCAGCAGGAGAACCTTCCAGAATGTTTAGGTTCCACAATCAGCTACTTTCACCCTGTCGCTCGTGCTTGGCCTGTGTAACCCTATATACGTGGCTTCACACGCCCTTGTGTTCCCAGGACACGTTTGTTAAAAACTCAGAGGCCTTTACGTTGCCAGAATATTTCCCCCTTAAATGCTGGAATCTTTCTCCATCTGTTCTTATGGAAAGAGTCCAGACCAAAGGCAAGCCTGCATCAGGTTGTGGTGCCTCCATTCTTCCCTCCGGGAGAGGGCCTTGCTGCCACCTGAGCAAGTGCAGAGTGGGACAGGTCTGCTGCTTAGCACTGTGGCTGTTAGTCCGGGGCCAGGGAAGGAGGAGGCCACTCTGTAGGCCCCTGGGGATCCCCCACAGCCTGCCCCGGGGTTCCTGGGCAGACATGGACCCCCTCCGTGTGGTTCCAAGGTAGGGAGGTGGTTCTGAGCCAGCTCACCCTGTCTCCTTCCACCTGTAGATCTGAAGAAATACCGGCGCTACGAGGTCATCCTGACAGCCTACAACATCATCGGCGAGAGCCCGGCTAGCGCGCCTGTGGAGGTGTTCGTTGGCGAGGCCGGTAAGCTCTGGGCAGGGGTGCCCTCCGGGAGGCCCGGTCTGGCACTCTCAGGGCTCAAGCAGTGTGCCCGTGTTGAGGTGCTAGCGGGCCAGGAGGTTCCAGGTCACTGCTGGGAAGGACAGGATCTGCCAAAGGCTGGGCCATCCTGGCAGCCAGAGAAAGCCGTCCAGTCTTGCTTTTAGACCAGAAGGTTTATTTAAAACCCGGAGCCCTTGTGAGTACCAGGACGTGCTCCAGGAGAGAAGCTGCTGCTTCCACGGGATTCTGGGCATGTGGGGACCTTGGCATCTGCCGGGGATGTTTGTACTCAGTCTCCCACGGTCCCTGGCAGGGCCACAGCAGTGGTCCAGCACCCACGTCAGCCTGACCTCCTGGTAATGGCCCCTTCTCGGGTCTCTGAAAGCCATATGGATCATTGCTTATACCCCTTTTAGATAAGATGCGACCCCTGAGGGCCTGTCCCTTCTCTGGAGGCTCACAGAGAGACATCATGTTGTGTTGAGAGTAGATCGGGCTCCCTTCTCACCTGAGGGCCCTGCCCACTCCCCTCTGCCTCTGCCGGGGTCCTGCTTGCATCAGCTGGGGCAGTCAGGAGCGTGCTTCAGGCCAGGAGCCAGCGGAATTCCCTCTGAGGACAGAGTCCCAGACTTGCCGGAGATGGAGGTTCGGCCGCTGGGCCAGCCTGCAGAAACGAGTCAGGTGACCTTTTGAAACTTAGAGACGTTACTGTTAGAAACCAAATGACACTCCTGGGGGCGTAACTTAGCAAGACTTTTCTGGAATGGTCAAGCGACATTTGCACCAAGTGAGAATGAGTGAAATGGGATGTGTGGAGCATAGCTTCTGTTGGTGTCTCTGTACGTTTGTCCCCAGGGGTTAGTCAGGGCCTGTGGGGGTGGGGGCTGGGCAGACGCACCTTGCCTCAGAGAGGAGCCCACCGAGGCCGAGCAGGAGCATGGGCTGGGAGGGGACGTGGCATACATTTTCTGGAAGGGCAAGGCTCCAGTCCTATCTGGCATCTAGGCCCATGTTGGCCACCACAGGGGTGGGTTGAGGGGGGCACCCAGCCGGCTGGCTGGAACTCACAGCACTTGCACTGCCCAGCAGTGGCCTACTCTCAAGGCCTCTGGTACTGGAGGCAGAGCCGGAGTCCTGAGTCCCAGGGGCGAGGGCAGATGTTGAGAGGAAAGGACTAGAGCCAGGGAGGCCCCTGGAGCCTGTCAGCCAGCCAGGTCGCCATGGGCCTAAAGCCCAGCTGCGCGCTCCTTGCCACATTAGCAGGTCAGTGGTCTCTGGGTAAAATGCCCGCAGGGTGAAGTCTGCCGTCCCCACCACCCCAAAGCACCACTGTCAGGCCCCACATGGGCAGAGCTCCCCCTTCCCAGAGAGAGGCCCCATGGCCACCAGCTGTCCCCCCTCCCCGTCCCTCTTCCCTGGTGCCACAGCCCTGAAGTGACCCTGTGAATCTCCAGTTCTGAACGTCCCGCCGTATTTGTGCTCTTGTGCTGGCTGCTTTCACGAACACGTTTTTGAGGTTCAGAGTGCGTGTCCACCCCTTGTCCCTTCTCACGGGTGCTGGGGAGCATTCCGCTGTAGGCACGCACCACATTTTGTTTCTCTCCATCCATGGATGGACACTTGGCTTGTCCCCGCCATCTCGGTTCTGTGAGGAGAGGCACTGGGCATTCTCTAGCAGCGCTAAGCTGACATCACATCTGAGCAGACAGGAGGCTCCGTGGAGGCTGCAGCCAGGGTGGGGGGGGGGGGGTGGCGGCGAGCCGGGCAGGCCCTGAGGCCAGGTGCTGGCTCCTCCTGCTCCCCAGGGCCCCTGATCACCCTGCCTTCTCCGGGAGGGGTCCTCTCCCCAGCTCTTCCCGAGAGGCCCTCCTCAGGGCCCACCTCCCCCTGGCACGCACCTGCTCCACATGCTGTCTCCCCACATCTCCCACCATCAGCCTCCTGGGTCCTATAATCCCCAGAAGGGAAAGGGGGCTCTACCCATCCAGCCTGGGCTCCTGGGCTATCTGACCCGATGCACTCGCTCTGAGGAGCCAGCTGTGTCACTCAGGGCACCTGCAGGAGGTGCTAAGAAGTGCTTTTAAAGTCTCCTGAGCAGTCTTGTACTCAAAGTGCGTGGAACACTGCTCACCCTTGTATCCCAGTTCCTCCTGCCCCGGCCCAGGACCCAACTCCGAGGGCTTCTTCTCCAGGAAGCTCTCTCTGAGCCCCTCCCCAGGTACATGTCCAGGTGTCTTCCGCTGTGCCCAGATCCTCGGGCACTGTGAAAACATTTCTGCCTTTCGTTATCGGATGGGACTGTCTGGTCTTCCTCCTCATGGGACCACCACCACTCATCTCAAAATGCTCCTCATCCTGAGCTTAGGACTGGAGGGGACATAAATGCCTTTACTGTCGTGCAAATAGAGGTCCCCAAACTCCCATGAGGACAAGGCAGGAGAGGAGCTGCAGGATCCTGGGAAGCCCCCAGATGAGATGAGACAAAGTGGGTGGAATTCACATCTCAGAGCAGGTGGTAATAAGTTGGGGGGGTGGGGGACAGAGATGCCTCATCCTGAAGCAAGGTGACAAGTGATGGTGGCATCTGCCCCATGAGAGCTGTGACCCCAGGACCCTTGCTGCCACCCACACACTTGTGCAGTGGGTGTGTCTCTCCATTGAGTGTCCTTCCCAAGCCTCCTACAGTGCCTGGGCAAGGGGGGATGCTGGCCAGGATGCAGGAGCACACTCTTGGAAGGCAGGCAGGTGGAATGCTGGCCCTTGAGCCCATAGGCAGCAGCAGGAGCAGGGACCAGAGAAGCCTGCTAAGGGCTAGGATCTGTGCAAAGGGGACTCTCAAAAGAACCACACAGGAAAAATCGGATGCTCATGGCCCTGCAGCTCTGCTCCCCTCACACAACCTCAAATGGGTGCAGGGATGGAGTTAGGGAAGGAACTTGTATGTTGGCTCCTTCCACCAAAATGTGGGTACAGCCTTCCAGTCGAGGACTCAGAGCACCAAGGCAGAGCAGCCGAGGGATCACCAGGAGACAGTGTGTTGTGCACCTTGGGGGAGAAAGGGCGAGACCTGCCTGCCCATGTCAGGTGGACACGGGCACTGATCTGCTCTGGGCCTTGAGATGTAGATCCCAGGAAGGAGCAGGGCCATGGCCCCGGGTGCTGAAATCAGGAAGTCTTTGGTATTTGGGTGGAGAAGACAGGGAAGCAGGCTTCTCAGTGTACATGTTAGCCACTCTGGAGCCGCAGGGGAGTCTGCCATGCGTAGTGGGCTCTCAGTTACTGAGCAAGTCACTTAACCACTCTGGGCCCCAGCCTTGAGGCATCATCATGGTACATGAGTGCTGTGAGCTAAGTCTAAGGACACTGAGGTCTGCATGCTGACTCTACCTGCCCCTAACACACTTGTCCTGCCCAGAATATGACCGCACAGGGTGGATCAGTATTTGTGAATGACAGATTGAGACCCTGGGTGAGTTACTTGACTCCCCCTGGCCTCATTTGTAAAGCAAGGTGTTTACAGTAGGCCTCTGAGTCTAGCCCAAATATGCAATATTTAAGTCTGTTTCACCTTATGGAGACAAAGTAATTTTGAGGAAATTTCTCATTGAAATTGATATCTGAGCCCAAGCATTAAACTGGTGAAAATTACACATCAGTGTGGACTCCAGTTTATAGGAGATAAAAGCCCAGCCCAAACAGGCTTAAGCTGAAACAATCATTTCTTAACTCAAATAACAGAAAACTTGAAGATCCTGGGTACAGCTTCAAGTATGGCTGGATCCAGCACCCTAACTGGCTGGTTTGATGTCCCCTCTTGGCTCCACTCTCCTGTCAGTTTGGGCAGGCTCCTTGTCACGGTGCTCCTGCAACTCCAGGCACCAGGAAGGCAGCTTCCCTTCAACAATGTCTGCAGAGGAAACCCACTGGTTCTCCTGAGTTTGCCTATAGTGACACACCCATCTGCAGACCAGATGCAGTGGCCAATGGCCTGAGGTCCTCAAAGGCAGGTGACAATGTCATCTCTACCTGGGCCATATGAACCAAATGGAAGGGAGGATCCCGGGGGAATTGGTGCTTCCTGCAGCAGTGTGCATGGCAGTGTTTGCCTAGTGGCCAGAGCTGCTTCTGAGAGAGGTGCAGAGACCGTGTATATCTGGGCACAGCTGCTGTCCCCAGTGATGTCTCCAGGCCAACCTGTGTGTTCCCAGGTTCCAGGTGTTGCCCACATTCCAACCTTCAAGCCACGTGCTACTCAAGGATGGGCCCCTACATTCAGGCTAAGGCTACCCTCCTGCCCTGAGACACGGGCGGGCACATCACCACCCCGCGGTGTTTCCAGGCCTCCCAGGCTACTCTGTCCTGGAACAGATCCCGGCTGTGTCGCCTGGAATCCCTGGTCTTACCTCCCATCTCTGGGAAGATCCCCAGGCTTCCTCAGCCCAGCCTCAGGGCCAACACCTCGAGCCAGGGGCCGGGGCTGCGGGTGAGGAGTAGCAGTCTCCTCCTTCTCTCCAGGCACAGCCTGTGTGTTCCCTCCTCTGTCCGGAACACGTTGTACACACAGCTTTCTGCACTTGCCAACTGTGGTCTGTCTGTGCTCTCTGCTCCACGAGTCAGAGAGCCCCTCCAATTCCCGCCCCCCCCCCGCCCCCGACATCCTCGGGACTCTGGATTGCCTGATCACTGTGGCAAGAGGTGGGAAGGGAGGGACATGAGCAAATCAGAAAGGAATCTCCTTTCTGAAGCCTGGCACCCCTGCTCAGAAGCACAGACACCAGAGACAAATGACAGCATGCAGCATCCCAGAGGGTGGGGACCCCCGGGGCCAGGGACCCACGGGAAGTTCCCAGGGGGGAGTCTTCAGCCCCAGCTCCCGTTTGCCCTGTCACCCCTGCCCATTCAAGGAGGATAGACATCTGAGGACCCAGGAGCTCAGAAACCATGAGGGCTTCTAACAAAACACGGCACAATAGACCTGACTG